AGCTGTTACAGCTGCAAAGGGTGGGCCAACTCCATATTAAACGCTATGTATTATCAGGATGGCATGTCCATGTTATTCACTACTGTAGGTATCTCCTCAAAGAAGGGTCTACTCAAATTTCTTTTCCTCTTTTCCCAGGCATGCCTTGCAAATATTTGTGAATACTTGATAAAAGCAAATGCCTGGCTTTTTGAATCGATAGTCAAAAAAGTAAAATGAATTTGATAGGAATTAAACATTTCTTTAGAAGCATTACATTGCTAATACTTGAAATTTACAAATGAACGATTACTAAATAAAACGATGACACCCCTGAAATCAATTCAAATATGGATATTTAACTGGCAAGGTTACATAAGTCAGGCTATGAATTGCTGGGTGAATGTAGTGCTATGAAAATTCTCCTGTCTGTTTCATTATGAATTTTTTCTTCAAATCAACAGATCTGGTGAGAGTAAAAATTAGGACTGAACTGAAATTAAAATTAAAATGCAGACAATTACAGTCTACATCAATGACAGTTCCTCTTGGATTACTGTTTTTTGAATGTCTGTGTGCACAGGAAGTCAATGATGTTTGGACCTTCAAAAGTCAAGCACACAGATTGCAGCGCATATAATCCCAGCCTGCAGGCTATAAAGCTACACCTCTTACTTCCAGACAACTTGCTTAATGTTGCCTAGTTACTTCTGTTGCACGCTAAAAACAAAGGTAGTGTTTTATTATGGTTTGTACTGCTGGACTAACAACATGCTTCCAAAGTTAAATATTTCTATGTGAGAGAATCCAGTAACAGCTTACTCTACCAATCAATTATTTGAAATGGCCTTGGGGTCTGGATACTGTCAAATTTTCCTATGGAGCCAGAGCAGTACAGAAAGGTATACTTGCAGGATGGCCGTACTGAAGAAGAACACAGTAAAAACATACAAAGCATGTGACCTGGACTATGTACCAGAGCCGGAAGACCATTTATGGAACACAGGAAGCAGGAAGCAATATGTTCAGGCTGTATGCTGCTACTAGGACAGACATATTTGGTTTTGTAGCCACTGCAAGAAAAAAAAATACACCCAGCAGGCTGCTGAGGTGCCCAAAGAAAGTGGACTACAGGAAACAGACGGCAGTATTCTATTTCCCATGATCTATGCTTCTACTGGCAAGAATGTCCCAGATACCCAGAGGTACAAGATACAGCAAAAATGACAGAAAAGCATAACTGCTGGACTGCTTCATATTTTTGTGTCATTCTTCTATATACTCAGAATTTTAGGACATATGAATGCAGGAATATTAGAAGACATCATTACTCCAGCACAGGTTTATAAATAAACTTGAATAACTCTGCCTACCTCTCTCAGTCACACTACTGCATATTAACATTGGTGTGATTAGGTTGTGATTGCTTGTAATAATTTTGTTTCCTGTAATGTGTAGGCTTTCATCCAAAAATTGATTCATTTTGGTCATCAATACAGGCCTTATACTGTATATGATCTGCGTATATGTACACTACAGGTCAGACGTTTGGGCCCATATTAGAAATACTTCAAGCAAATGTAACAACGGTTTTCAGTATTTTACAGCTTGTAACACATTTTTTCGGCTGAAACTATTGGTTTTGAAGAAGACATATCAGGTCTGTCTTTAATGCATAGACATTCATTTTATGTTGGAATTCTATTTACTAATGTCAGAACTTGATTTGCTCTTGGCCTCTCTTGATTGTGTCTTAATAAATTAAATGATAGCCATTTGTCTGCCTTGTCTCAGTTTGTGAGCGGTTGAATGCACTGTCTGCTCCAGAGGGCTCAAATCGAAATATTGAGTACAGAAGGGTTCTCTCATAGTCAAATAGCCAGAAGGTTAAATGTCTCTAAGCACGGAGTGACCAACTCTTTACATAGACAAAGGCTGACAGGAAGAAAGTGACCAGAAACGATCTGAAGCAAGGAAAGTGACATCAAAGATCAACACTTAGTTGTGACATGCAGAAGAAATCAGAAGATGACTATAATGGTCTAAGGGCTGCGAATTAATGTGAACAGAGGGAAATCGGAATCTCTTAATATAGCCAAGCAAAGACTAAAAGCAGCTGGACTACATGGTCGAGTAGCTGCCAGAAAACCTTTACTTTGGGGTGTAAACAAGAAAAAGAGGCTGCTGTAGGCTAAACAACACAAACACTAGAGTATTCCAGACTGGGAGCAGGTCTTGTAGACGGAGGAAAGTTAGAGTAACAAGTTCAAAGTGAGCATCTACAAGTGAGAAAGAACTGTTTGCATGCTTGAAAATGTGCTGGGAGGGTTTGGACACAAGTTATTTCCAAAAATGGCTGGAAAGGATGCTGTGAATCTGTGCTGCTGTGATAAAGGCAAGGGCTGGTTATTTTGATGGAACTCATACTTAAGCACTCGTATTCTTACATTGCACTTACAATACAAAGTTAATTGTTGCATTACACTTCAAAACCAGTCAGTTACATTTGTTTTAAGTATTTCTAATATTTTCTTGTAATAAAAGACTGAAAAAGCAGGGTATCGTATATTATTTTTTTTAATCAGAGCGTGGGCCCAAACTTCCAGCCTGTACGTTTGTGTGTGTGTGTGTGTGTGGATTATGTCTGTATTACATTGTGTGGACCAAATGTTCCCCACAATATAATAAAAACCTGTTATTTTGATGTTGTGGGGACCATTTTTCAGGTCTGTGAATGCAATCAAAAACTAAAAATGCCAAAAGTCTCATATTTTGTTATTTATGGGTAAGGTTAGGGCTGGGTAGGGGTTAAGGTCATCATGTTGGGATTAGAGTTTTCCCCAAAGAAATTAATGGAGAGTCCCCTCAAAGATATAATTACAAACCTGTGTGTTTGTGTTTGTGTGTGTGTGTCTGTGTGTGTGTGTGAGTATCAACAGTCAAAGGTGATCAAGCAATTAGCCCCTTATAAAAATGTATCTTCAGTGCAATTTGCAACGCAATCCCCCAAAATAAGCTGCCATATCACTAATTTTACTCATCCATGAAGTGATGTATACTACTGTTTAAATGTTTTTTTTTTGTTTTTAAATTTTAGATTTATCTATAATCATTTTGTTCTTAAACAGCTAAAACATAATGAGAACCACTAGAATTATATAAGTGAAAGAGTCCCTGTGCCCTGCACCGTCAGGAATAAGCTCTAGACCCCCTCAGGGACTTGAGGATGAAGGTTGAATGGATAGATGGATGTAAGTTCAATATTTTATCTATGTTATTGATGTACCTGAATACAGGGTTAAATTTTTAACCTCTCAAATGCATAAAGCACACGAATAAAATGAGATATGAGTGGGAGGGAGGGAGGACATGGTTTTACAACTGCGTCATGGTTTCTAACATCATTATCTGATCCTATAGTGATTAATGCAGCTGGCTGGAAGTAGTTTCATGCAGCTCCTTCCAACCCATAAGGCCTCACCCCTCCTCCTCAGCAGTTCCACTCAACTGCTAATCCAAGGGCAAACAGCACACAAGTTTGCACAATGTACATGAGCTAGCATGTCTTTTCTATTTTCTTTTGGGGGAGTTTTTTTTTTTTTTATGTTGGTTAAATATTCTACTTTTATATGTTTACAAACGCATAGCAAATTACCTTCAAGGAATAAGAATGGGGAAAATAAGCGATTTATTTAGTAGGTGCTTTACCCAAAGCAATAGAGAAATGAGGATCAGAAGCAGTTGTTCCTGGAGGAATTGGCGTTAATGACCTTATTCAAGGAACCAACTCTGAAATCACTCTGCTAGCCAAAGAATTTGAACCGACAACCTTCTAATCACGTCGACCAAATCAACAGAGCAACACACCACCCACTATTTGCATTCAGTCTCTAGAATCCAAGGTGTGTTTATGTTGTGCAACGCATGTGATCTTCACCAGTGTCTCCAGCCAGGCTCCATGTCCAAAGCAGTACTAGCATTATACTGTTTAAAGCAGTGTTTCTCAGTCCGGTCCTTGGGGAAGGGAGCAAAAATGTGGACTGTCTGACAGGGAGCTCGGAGGGAGCAAAAACATGGACCGGCTGTGAAACAGACATGCACTTTTAAAGCTATCCTCTCTAACATCAGCGGGATCTTGGGACTGAATAACCATTGGCAAATTGTTAATGTTGTCCTACTTCTTTAAATCAATTACATGTATGTTCCAGCTGGGGGCGGTGTGGGCCTCAGTGGATTAGGATTCTCGCAGAATTTGCAGAGTGATTTCACCATTGGGCCCCTAAACAAGTCTTTTAACCCCAACAGCTGCAGGGACTGTCTAACCTCATTTTCTGCTAAATAGGTTAAAATGTAGAATCTTTAAAATACATGCATGTCTCACCTTGTGTCCCTGCCCATTCCGCTCCCCAGTTTTGAATGCTGCACTGACTCTTTATCATTTACACACCCATGATTAAATATCTACTCCTGCCTTTAGTGTTTGGCATCATTATACATCATTCTGCTTTTTAGCCCCTTCTACATCTTAAGCTCCACGTTGTTTTTACATAACAATAAATATTGTAATCACACCATATTCAAGCAAATACTGCTCTCCAGACTATGTTAGCTGTAAACTGATGATCTGTCCAATTACTGTTTTCATGCTAGTGACCAAGTCCGCTACGGATATCTTCTGGGCCTAGGACCACAGGCCTGTTATCAACCAGTAACTACTATATTATGAAAGTTGTTTTCCAGGCTATATTAAATTTGTTAATTATTGCATAGGGTTTTGAGTGTGCTAGACGAAATGTTGTATGATACCTAGACTAAAAAACTTATGAAACTTATGAAACTTATGAACTTATGAAAACTTAGAAAATGGATGGATGGATGGATGGACGGAAAGCTATTTATTGCACAAGATATTTAAATCCCTGCTATGGTGACCAAAAGCAGCAGATGTTGACATTCTTGCTTATACACAAAAACATGGCACAGTGGTGTAATGTACGTAAGCATATGGAAGGGAAACGTACCTCATGGGGGCAACTCATGCAAGGCTGGAAGTGGCAGAGGCCTCGCGACAGGCGCTCTGTGCCATTACGGCAGCAGGCTTCCACTCCATCCTCCATGTCTTTGTTGACCCTGCTGAGGTGGAAAAGGCAAAGAGCGGAGTGCTTGCGGGGCTCGCCGGTGCTAGGAGTCACTGCAAACACGCCGTACAAGATGTCCTCCGTCTCCTGTATGCCCCACTCTTTCGCCAGCTCCTTGCCCGCCTTCCCGAAATGTGCCGCCTGGATCGCATTGAAAATTATGTCGCGATTCATCCCACTTCTCCTCCTCCTCTTGGGCTTGAAGCTGCACTCCAAGACCATTTCCCGATACATCCACATCTCCAGGTTGCTTCGCGGAAGCCGGCCGAGGCGAGTCTGAAGCGGGGAGCGTTTGTCGTCTGGCATCTCCCTCTGCACAGACACAAAGTAGACAAACTCCGCTGTGACGAAGCTGTAGATGTAGTCGATGCGGTAGGAATCACGCAGGCCGGGCAGTACGGTCAGTGCTGGCACGTCTGTATGAAATCCGTCCTCCGTCGCTAGCGGCCGTCGCACTGAAATAGACTGTCTGCCGTAACTCTGGGCAACGCTCTCATTAACTGTGGCGGCGACAAAGAAGTAGGATATCTGACCGAACTGCACGATGCTCACTTTTGTTCCAAGAGGACTGGCCACACAATCCGGACAGAAATCTGGAGAATTAGATTCCCCTTTAAAGAGGCAGGTTGAGGTAGAAGGCCGCTGCCCTTTTTGGTCAAGCACATGGAAATAACACACCCCATGCTGGGAGCTCCCACATGAATATAAATATGGAGGAAATGACTGCAGATCCATCAGCAAGACTTGGTTATCAGTGTCCTCTGACACATCAATATCCCGGGGAATATCGCACAGGTCACAAATCTCACACTCAGAGCTGCGGACAGGGCCCGTGCGCAACTCCCAGGACTTGCTCAGGTCGGCATTGACCGCCTCGATTCGATTGCGTGATGCCACATAAACGTCCATAAAATCCTCATTAATGACAATGTTCTGTATGGGGCCCTGTGCCTGAAAGTACAGTATGGGGTAAGTAACAGTAAAATCCACAGCAGAGCGGGGAAATGGAGAACAGGCATCCAGGCCCAGGGCCGTGGGCGTCTGTGTCCAGATGCACATTGCCAGTAGTGTGACCTTATGGAACATTTCCCACAAGGGCTTCCTACTACCTATTACCACAAGATAGAAAAACTGAAAGGGCTGCTCCATCAGGTCATCTTAAAGGTGGCCTGCAGTCCCTATGGACAAAATTAAGAGAAATAAATTACTGAAAAATCACAATAAAACCTACACAGCATAGAGGAGAACTAAACAATCAGGGTCTTAGAAGTATTCGAGGAAGATGGTATTTAATTTAACAAAAAAACTTACCTTCTGGACATTTAACTTAGTAGAAGGAAATGTACTATAAGCAAATATAGTTTCAATATTCATCCTAAAATAATATATAACAGAGCAACATTATGTTTGTAATCTTTTGTAACAAATATCTGTTTTTTATTTGGAGTATGTAATTTCATGACCAGGAGGGACGTAATTACACTTGTAGTACTCACAGACTTAATGAAAAATCTTGAGCTCTACAGGGCATTTACACAGATCCATGTACATGAATTTCTAGATACATTTTGTCCTGATGTATGAATCAGTTTGTAATCCTAAAGACATGTATTACTACCAAATACTATAGTTTAGGAAACTTTTCTAAAACTTTCAGAATCAATACTTAGTGTTTACCAGGCATAGGGAAAGTGAATGTGGAAAATTCATGTTAAAGATCAAGTGTTCCTCTGTAAATAAAAGGATACGTTTTATGCATAGTGTGAAGGTTTTTGAAAAGGTAATTCAATGAATTTGAAAGCATGTCTATTCTTTATTTAACTGATTGTTTCAAGAGGAAAAGATAAGGTAATCATTCTGGAAAAGCAATGCAATTATTCTATATAAGGCTGTTTTTTATGAAAAGAACAAACAACTACTTTTTAAAAGTTTAATTTGGAAAATAAAAGTAACATTTTAAGAATTAGGCCTAGACTGGCACTCTGTTGGACATATTGTGTAAAACAGGACTGAATGTTTTGGATAACATAATGAAAAAAATCCTTACAAGATGATTGAAGACAATTAAACATTTTAAAAATGACCTTTCTGAAGATAGATTTTTTTTTTGGGGGGGGGGGAATTATCTGGAGTGGATGGACGTTTTTGTTGCCCTGAAAAAGCCAATAATCGTTTAACTCAAGGTGGGCTCAGTGAATAATCACTATTACTAGCAATAGTAGGAGCAGTACTAACGATGACTACAGATATACAGTAAACGTGAATACTGACCGAGCTACTACTTGCAGCAGTATAACCCAGCTAGCAAAAAAGACGTATGGTTTTTTAAAGTTGTAGCAATGGTCATAAAGGAGGGGTAGTAGTTCTTGTTTTATTCATGTTATTGTCTTTTAAGAGGTAACAATAAAATGTTACATTAATCTTAAACCAAGACCAGCTGCCAGAGTAAAGCACAGCTTACCAGTTTATGATCCCACAGACCAGTTCTCTCCCTCAGTACCGATTACAGTTTCGCCGTAGTTTTCACATACGATATTACTGCTGTGGTTCACTATGGTGCCAATAAAGAACAGTAAACATTTTTAACAGTTGTTAATAATTGAGATTTTTTTCTAACATTATAGGACTAATTCGTTGCCAGAAAAAAAATCCTGACATGAAATATCCTAGAGGGGAATAACCTAATACCAAAACCTACCATTACCAAAGCACTATAATGCTGACCAAAATAGCATATAAAAGGATAGTTTACGTCTTAGGAGACGAAACGACTATTTCGGCATTCAGCCATTTTGTCATAAACTGCATTAGGAATGTGAAGGCTGTTTCCTCTGGGTTTTAAAAAATCGCTATGAGGAAAAAGTTCAAATAAAGTTTAAGTCTGAATAAGGAATTGCCGCACATTGGCTATTTTAGGTTTATTTTCAGCTGAAATCTCCGTCTCTCGTATGGGTGTGTAAATATATAACCTACAGCTGACACGTTTTCAAAGCGCGCTGCTTACCTGAGTTGGTGCATATACATCATCCTTGGCTTGGTTTGCTTTCACCCCAGAGATTTTAAACCGGTAAAACGATATTCTCATTCTGCTGCCTCTTCTCTATTTTATGTTTATTTCATAAAGTTATTACAGCACTGCGACAAGAAAAGAAGGTTTGGTAACCTGTGGACGGTGTAAACTAGCATGCAGTGCGATCGCAATGCTTACACGCCCATCCTGTAATCGCAATGTGCTGTAAATTATTGCGTAATCTTACAACCGCACAGCCTGTCACCCGATTTATATACGCCTTATTATAAGGAAGTAAGGTAAAATGTAGCAAATAAAACGTGAAATGTTCAAGTTACTGTATCAAGTATCAAGTTAATGTTCAAATATTAAACATAACTGATAATTTAGATGAAATAACAGCAATGAATGAATTTATATTGGATTCATATTTTGTTATCTAGGTCTATATTCAATCAGAGATACTACACTGGTGATAATTCTTATATTTAATTAAAACATGGCATGCTTAAATGAAAAATAGTCTCCTTATTTCCTGATTGTTGCTGAGTAAATCCAACTTTTCCTCATATTCTTCTCAGTTTAAAATATGTGTCTCAAAAACAATTTCCCTTAGAAACACCCATAAGTGACACCAAGTAGTATTACAACTTATGCCACACAACACTTTAACTTAAACCAGTTTAATGCATTTAAAATTTAATCAAACGTAGGCCTACATATAGAAAGGATTTAAAAAGAAGATCAATATGAATATGCCTTCTCAGTTCCCCATGTTATGCTCGCTCATGGGGGTGGCAGGAGAGATAAAGCATGCTTTCCTCTTCAGACATTACAGGCATTGCAGCACTTCAGTCTACTGGTTGTCTACTGGTTAATGCTGAACCCCAGGTAGATTTACAGCATGAAAGTAAACAAAACACACCTGGGAACTGAGATCAGGATCAGTGATCGGAATAGGAAGTGTTGCATTTTTCAAGTGAAGAACGTGATAAGACTCAGGAATTCCAAAAATCACTTGCATATGCGTAAATTATATTGTGCACCTATTATTACATTTCACATAATTAATGATTAATTCAGGTGGTCATTTTATAGGTGTTTTAGTACAATGATATACAATGTAGTTGTAGCAGTTTCTTGCAAACGACAAGATTTCAGATTCTTTTTATATCCGTGTAATGTAATTGAAACTGACTTCCTTAAAATGTTGATTTGTACAACTGGTAGAATTAAAAATGTGTAGATATTCCATGTAAGTTTTTATAATTTTTTGTAATAAAGGCATCTATTTAACAAAAAAAAATACTACTTACAATCTCCAATAGATACTGTGTCCTTCAGAATTACTTTTCTAACTGCTTGTTAAGACACACCCTCCTAAGGCACAGGATTCTTGTGCAACAGCACTGCATTCTCACTGTTAGAAAATGGGGCATTGGTTGGGGGGGGCGGGGGGGGATTAGGAATACAGGTGGGGGTTAGAATGATTCTAAGGGCCCCTGAGTGACAGAAGCCCTAAAAAATTTGGAACATAATTGCATTGGTCTGGGTTGAGGGGCCTGTATGATATGTTCTCATGGAGCCCGAAATCACTCACAGAGCCCCCGCATACTGAGAGCCAGGTACATCTAGAATAGGCTGTTTCCAAAGTTCTCCAACAACAAAAAACTGAGATTAAAATCATGTAAACTTCTGCAGGAATTATTTAGTCCATGACCTGTCTCTAAGAAATTTGTTTAAAATAATATATTGTTAAGAATAATGCTGTACAAAATTTTGCTAGTCGGGGAATATTTACTCATTTCCATTAATTGGTAAAAATCACCAGTGCAGAACATCACTAAATGTGCTTATAAAGAAAAGAGAAAGTATATAAACACATACATATGATAGGTGCTGTGCCACATACCCAGTGCTAAAACTGATAAATGTGTCATTTATAACTACAAATTTAACAAAAAAAAATTGTAATGACATAGTTATTTTAGTAACCAAAATTAATTGCCATAATAACAGCCAGGGGTATCATAATAACGTACATCTGTTTTTCACATATTGTATGAGGCCAAAACAATCAAATAACTTTTTAATATGAAAAAAATTCAACAGCAGGAATAACAATAATAACTTTGAGGAAAGTAGCAATATATTTAGTTGTAGTCAAAATACCCTTAGAAGAAAATGTAAATGGGATTGCATACCAAACTGCTCATGCATCATTGTTATCAAGGGCGTATCCTGCCAAGGGAAAGATGGCCAGCTGCCTAGGGTGACATCTTTCAAGGGATACCATGGTGCGCCTGCACGACTGCATTACCGCACGTTTGCGCAGCTGGAGGAGATTTCCCCCAGGTCACGTATGCCAGAACCACTACTGATCATCACCACCACCGTCGTCATCAACATCATATTCACCTTTTCCCCTGGTTAGAGTTGTCCTATGACCCCAGTCATAAGTGCTCTGCAGATCTGCTCTGCCTTGCCCTGGGAGTGGGTGTGTCTTTGTGTTTCCGATCCCACCTCCCCATACATCAGTATACCCAACCTAACCTGTTGGAGGAGTTCCAGTTTACTGTTTCCAGTAAAGGTGCAGCCAAGCGCTGAACCAGGAGTCTTTGAATTTTACACATTTTTGTGCTTGCTAACCCTTTGTAAACTTCTCTGTGATTTATCGTAAGTGCGTGACCCTTGACTGTGTAAAGGTGCTGACCCCACATCAATCTGTAATGCTCTATCCATTTGGGTCTGTGCTGGTTTCCCTCCTGCAGGGAACCATTAAGCTGGCTACAATGAGACTGGACTCCCACACTGGCACACCTTGTGGATCCACCTCAGCCCCCACTGAATGTGAGGTTGCCCACAGGCAGATTCTCACATATCTTCTGCTCGTGAATCCATCTCTTACTCTCATCTGCTCCTTTTGCCCAACTTACGGTGGCCCTGAAAGCCCAGAGCACGTCAACATTATCACAACGCAAAAACATCAAGAAGATGCAAAAACATGAAGACAACACAAAAACATCAATGAAAAAAATTAAGCAAATTTAAAAAAAAATAGAAGCAATTTTAAAAAGTTAAAAAGTAGCACGGAGCACTTTAGCATTGAAAACCTCAGCACATTAAGAGAATACAACGTATTAAGAAAACAATACAGTACATTTAAAAATTAAATGTGATTTATTTTTGTCACTTTTATGTTTTTGTGCCTTCTTAATGTTTTTGCGTTGTGTAACTGTAATGTTGACATGCTCCGTGCTTTCAGGGTCACCATACCAACGAGATATGAGTAGTTACGTAATAAACCTCTGTGGAGCCTCTGTGAGTCAATCAGACAAATTGTCAGTCCATGAACTAGATCAAACTTGGTCTCAGTTGAATCAATCAAATATAAAATCCTGTGTGGCATCATAGTCTAGGATGAACAAACTTAGTTAAAAGTAAGAGAAGACTTGTAGTAATCACAACGATGCTATTAATTAACTAGAAGTCATAAAATGTTCTAAAATTAAAATAGATTCGAGTTAGATTTTATTTGGTTAGATTTAATTTCCTTTAAGTAACTTTTTCTGAAGAGCATGGAAAGATCTACACACACTCATTGTCATAAGCTACTCAGTTACATTCTGTTTTTGGGCCAGTGGGGGTTTCCTAATACAACTGCTCCGTACTGGATTATGCTTAACCCTCTTGGATTTGGTTGCATAGGTCTATATCATTTCTTGAAATAGTTTGCATGTGTCTGCATATATTGTATGTGAATTAGGACGCATGGCACCATGTGTTTTGATGTCTTTTGTCCCTGCTTATGACAAGAATATATAGGATACTGTTGAATTTGTATTTGAGTTTTCATTTAGTTAGGTTAGGAACACAGTTGCACTAGTGTGCCCAATGAGGCCACAGAAGACAAGGAGGTTTGTGCAGGGAACACTGCACAATAGGAGGGTCTGTTAAGAGGAGACTGTTCATTCAGGCAGTCTTCCTCCAGTATTCCCTTGCAAGTAGTAGGCAGCATTCGTTTCAGGGTGGTCATCCCCCCAGTATCCAGTCTCCCAGTATCCCCCAATATCCAGCTGCTGAAACCACACATGCCTTTTGCCTTTTTTATTCTCCTCAGAATTCTTCCCAGCGTAGCCTTTAAGATCCACAAGGGAATATTGTCCTGCCCCCTGTCTGGGGCAATCAGCCATGCCTCGATCATTGGCACTTTCTGAGGATACATTTGTCAGCCTGCAAGGTGCCGATCGCTCTCTGCTGGTGCAGAGCAGAATTATTTATTTGATAGTTGGTTTATCTATCTATAATTTTGTAATTTTCGTACCGATAGAGGTTGGAAATACTTTAAAGATAAAATTGTCTTTTTTCTATACCTTATCTCTTCTTTTTTAATTATTATCATTACTTTTTAAATTATTTAAACGGTTGCACAGTCGGATAAGAGCGGTTTAGGAAACATTTCACTGGGTGTTGTACCCCTATATGTACGTGACAAATAAAGAATCTTGAATCTTGAAATACCATGGAATGTAACAGAATGCTATGGTCACAGAACAATGTACCATAGTATAAAATGAAATACTGTTCAAATAGTAGGAATACATACTATATGTGTATCATCATACTGTAAATGTACCATGCACAAAACAGAAAATTACTGTAAGGACAATGCAGTACAACCATACTTTTCTAAGGGACTCATTCTGAATGAAACATGAGGAAGTATCCTTCCCCGATGCACACACACACAAATAGAAAATCACATTATCATCGGTAGGAGGGAATTTGACCATGAAAAGAGCAAGTCAGAGATGTTTCTTTCGGTTTCGATTTACTGAAGTCACTCTGATAGCAGGTTTATAGCCTTTAAATATTTCACAGTCATAGGTATTCTTTCATAACTTTCGAGTAGTTAATCTCGGATCCTTCAGTACATTTGGTGTTCCTCGGTGACATTTAGTGACAAATTAAATAACTTGATAAAGCTTCCCATTTACCGTAGAAGATGTCAGCGAGTGCAGAAATTGACGAAAGCCTATACTCTCGCCAGCTGTAAGTAGTATCTCTGGAATTTATATGTAATATACGTGCTCATCAATTACTGCGTCGTATTTTCGTTATTCGTGTTTTGTGTGGATGGGAGTGTAAACTTAGAAGGCATGTTGGTATCGTAGAAGGAGGTCTTTATTAATCAACAGGGGGAGTTCAGAGAAGCTACAACTAATTAGACG